TTGTAGATAACAATCCTATCGACCAAGACCTTCTAGAGATAGAGAGATGAAACCACGTAGAAAATCTCAAAGGCTGTCTAATTATACTATAGCATACACTAGTTATCAAAAACTAGTTGATAAGGAGTTAAACATTTATGAGAAGGCTATGAGGAGTGAAAAATGTGAGGAATGACAGAGTGTCATGAGAGAAAATATGTGTTCTCTTGTTAAGAATCAAACCTGGGATTTAGTTCCTAGGCTTAAGGATAAATTCATTATAGGATGCAAGTAAGTTTATAAGATAAATGAGGGAACAACTGAAAGTGAACTCATGAGATATAAGGCTAGGTTGCCAAGAGATGCACATAGAAGGAAGTGGCAGATTATAATGAGATCTTTTCGCCCGTTGTTAAGTATATCACTATTAGAGTCATGCTTGCTTTTGTTGCTAACTATAATTGGGAACTTGAACAACTTGATGTCAAAAAAAATTTTTGCGTGGTGATCTTGATGAAAAGATTTTTATGAATCAATCCAAAGGTTTTGAGAGTAAAAATAAACTTGATCGTGTCTATTTTTTAAAGAATTCTCTTTATGGGTTGAAACGGTCTCCTTCGGTGATATAAGAAATTTGATTCTTACGTACTTTCTATTGGTTTCAAGAGGAGTGAGTTTGACTATTGCTTTACATGTACCACAACACTAGTAAAGAGTATGTATATGTGTTACTTTAAGTGGACAACATGTTATTAATTGAGCCTAACATGAAAGTGGTAAACAATGTTAAAATTGAGTTAAGTAAAGAATTTGACATGAAAGACCTTGGACATACTAGGAGAATCCTTGAAATGGAGATAAAAAGGGATATGTCCAATTCTTGCTTATTTGTTCATCAAACTCTCAACGTGCTTTAAATTTTAAAGAAATTTGGCATGATTGATTGTAAACCTGATTTTGTGCCTCTTGGAAACCATTTTATTTTGTCAATAAAATAATCACCTACTGATGAGAAAGAAAAAGATTTTATGAGTAGAATTGATTATCCTAATGTTTTTGGCTCCGTTATGTACCTTATGGTCTGTACTATACTTGATTTGGCTTCCACTGTAATTGTGTTAAGTAGGTATATGTCTAATCCTAGTCCCAAACATTGGGAAGCATTAAAGTGGTTGCTTAGGTACTTCAATGATACTTTTGATGAGGGGTTAGTTTATAAGCCTGCTAATTAGGGTGTGAAACTTAAAGGTTTTATGGATGCTGATTGTAGTGGTGATATGATAATGGAAAGTCTACTTCTTCTCTATGTTTACTTTGTGTGACTCTTGTATGAATTGAAAGTCTCAACTCCAGCATATTGTTGCTTCATCCACTATTAAGTCTGGATATATTGCTACCACTGAAACTATTAAATAAGGTTTGTGGTTTAGGGGTTTGCTTAATAAACTAAGTTTTTTAGGTCATAATGTGATTATATACTCTGATAGTTAATTTGTCATCCATTTGTGTAAGAACCATGTGTTTCATGAACATACTAAATATATAAATGTTATGCTGCATTTTATTAGAAATGTAGTATCCAAAACTTTATAAAACTTGAAAAAGTGCATTCAGATTATAACCCTGCAGATACACTCAGGTGTTCTGTGATAAAGTTTTGAAGCTGCCTTATACTTTTAAACATTAGTAAAGGTATGTGACGTTTCAATTTTCTTTGAAATCACATTGTGCGACTATTAAAGTAGTTTTTTCTTTTGTAAGTGAATTTGGCATCAATGTGAAGGTTTTTTGTGTATTTTGATATCAAATAAACTCGGGGCTATGATAATTGGTCAGGTCAAAATAATATTCATATGCTTTGCTAAAAGCCCCTTATTGAATCTTTAAACAGTTGCCGACACAAACCACAATTGGCAGCCAAAGAACTAGAGATGAACCAATAATCTTGTGTGTGAATAATATATGTGTGGGTTCAACCCATTTGGTAATGGCCCAATTACTTAACATATTGTTATCCCTTTATATGTTAGCCCCTATTCTTGGTTTAGACATTACATGCACAAGATATTTTCCCTTGTCCCTTTTGAGAGAAACTACTGTCTTTGCTTTGTGTGGTCTTCAACCTTTTCACTGTGCCTCTTCAATTCTCTGTGACCATCCATTTTCTCTACCGGTGACTATATCTGACTTTTGTTGTGTCTTCAGTGACTCCTGTTTGCTCCATTTTTCCCCTGCTTCGTTGCTCCACTTCCAACAGTCTTCTACTTGGTCCTTGCGCAACCTTATGGGGGGATTCCTTTGTGGTTCAATGCGAGATTCTTTGGATTATTCCGATTTTGGTGTTGCATTGTGATTTGGGTTGTTGATCTGAGGTCTATAAAATCCTTATATTGGTGCAAACTCTGACTTAGAAGGGAAGTGTTTGTCTGTCTTAATCTACTTGATAGTTGTTTATCAATTGATTTTGCCTAACTTGGTGCTTGGTTTATCAATTGAAAGTTTCATTTTACTACAAAGGTGATACATAGCATCATATAGAATTAAACAATATTATAATATAAAAAGAAAAGAAAAGAAAATTATAATCTCATTAATTTTGTCGAGTTCATTAATGTGTTCTAAACTCATTGTATGGGTATTATAATTATTTAAATCATTAATGTTATAGAAATTAAAGTGTCTGTAAATAACAGTTATTCTACTTGTACATAAAATCTATATAGATAGTAGAGTTCTATAGATAATGTCCAACGCAAAGTCCCACACGCATTCATACCCTCGTCTAAAATTCTCTTCTACCCTTTTTACTCTCTAATCCTAATTCAACTCAACTCTACTCAACTCTACTTGAAAATTTTATTTTAAAAATTTGTCCACAATCATGCCTGATGAGTGCTCCACGCTCATGACATTTATGCCACTTAATGCATTATTTTGTTACCCTTGAGAAAGTTTTGGAGTGTTTTTATGTGTGTTTTGATATTGTGATGTAGGTTGGTGAGATTGAAGAAAATAAACAGAAGTTGACAATTTTGGAAAAAATGGCTAAATTATAATAGATTCAAAGTTCGGGGACTAAAGTGAAAATACTTAAAAGTTGTGCCGAACCTCACGATGAAGATTTGAGAGTGTCAATGGCCATTTGGATGAGGAAATATGTTAAAGGGATTAAATTTAGTCAAAATATGATCACACATCAAATTCCAACGGAAAAAGTTTTGCTCCGGATTTTTAGTCTCATATTGAGACTCACTTTTGACATAGAAATGATCAAATTGGAGGATGATATCTCAACCAAAGTTGTAGCCCAATGAGTTAGCTTTCCAAATCATCTTGAATCACCTCAATCGGACATCGAACGAAAAAGTTATGATAAAAATATTGAAAGACGTGCAAAATAGAAAACTGGATAGATGAGCTAGCGCCACGGCGCCGCGCGCAGGGTAAAAATAAAAAATAAAAAAAATGTTTTTTTAATGAGACCCACCCCAATTCAATCCTAATTCGTCTCTAAACTCTAAAACACTATAAATACAAGTGTTGAATGATTTTAGGAGAGGAAATGAATTTCTTTCGTGTTTGTGA